GGGGACGCTCCGGGCGCGGCTCGGAATTCTCGGTCCTGCGAGGACGCCCGCCGGGGTCCCCTCGGGCAGGGTGTGGCCGGCCCGCTTCGCCTTGGGAACGGCGCCGGGCTGGTCGGGGATTGCGGGGCACGTGGGGGAGCCCGGGGCCGAATCCAGGCCCTGGCAGCCGGCGTGTCCCGGTGCTTAGCAACGGCGGGGTTTCTTCTCGGACCCGGTGAGGTCGCAGGAGGGGACGTAGAGTCTCTTGTTTGTCCCCGACTGGACTCCGGCTAGATCCCCCTTCGACCGCCTTTTCTCCTGCTGTGCTCGCCCTGGGTACAGAATGAGGGCTCAGGTACCCCCCTGTCCCGCCTGAGATAGAACCCCGGAGTCGGGTGCTGCTTGTGAGGAACGTTTCGAACTCGGACACTTCATGGGCACTTTTCAGCCAATCTCAAAGTTGGAGGTGGCAAGGCTTTATTAGGGAAAATGAAAAAAGTTCCCCATTGTAGCCTTGGAACCCACGAATCAGAAGACTTTTTAGCACCTAGTTGGTAGCCTTCTGCCTTGCCCTAACCATTTTTTAACCCCTGACATGCCAGCGTTTTTATTTGTTCCTTCATCCCACTTAGTCTGTTCAAATGAATAGAACAACAGTTAAGTCACCAAACCCGTGTGAAGTGGCCGTTGACGAATTCTCAGATATTTCAGAATGTGTCTGATGTGTGTAGCTCACAAAAAAAAAAAAAAACGAAAACGAAAAATATGCTCACATTTTTTCTTCTTTCCTTTAGCTATTCGTGTTTACTGTGTCTGGAAGATAGTGCTTCAGTAAAAACTATGATTTAATATTTTCTTTTTGTTTGTTTCTGAGACAGAGCCTCCTTTGAAGCCTTGGCTGTCCTGGAATGCAGAGATCTGGCTGCCTCTGCATCCCAGGTGCTGGGATTAAAGGCCTGCACCACCAACTCGGGTCTAAGACTGTGATTTTTTTTTAAAAGGAAGTTCTATAAACAAATAAAACAGCTTTAATCTGTCTCCTTCATTTCCCAAGTCCTTGTTAGTATCCCACAGTGGCAGATAGCTAGCGCTGGAATCTAGAGTCTGATTACCAGTCTGGAGCGTGTTCATGCGTATATTTGTTTTACAGTTTATGAGTAGTCCATACAATTCCTGCCCCACACCAACAGCAGGGACGCGATGCAGATATTACAGAGGAGGAAAGTGAGGTCCAGAGCGGTAAATGACTCACTTGAAGCGTAGTGGCCCCAGCTCTGCTGCTTCCTCCCGAAGACTCTTTCCACTCCCCACTGCCTTTTCCAATGATCACCTCCTTTCGTTTCAGGAATGCCGGATTGCTCACCCTGTTGTGAAGTGCACCTACTGCAGGACTGAGTACCAGCAGGAGAGGTAGGGTTCTGGGTGACCACGAAAGATGTTTTCTTTTTCTTGCTGTTCTGTTTTTAGTTTTTTTGAGACCGTAGTCCAGGCTAGCTTTCAGTTTGAGGCAGTCCTCACCTTAAGCCTTTCTAGGGCTGGGACTAAAGGTGTACCACCATTGCCTGGCCAGAACACACATTTCAAAACATAGTAACTTTAAAAAAAAAAAATGCCAAGCATAGTATCATAGGTCTTTAATCCCAGCACTCAGGAGGCAGAGGCAGGTTCAAGGCCAGCCTGGTCTACAGAGTGAGTTCCAGGGTGGCCAGGACTGTTAAGAGAGAAACCCTGTCTCAAACAATAAGAACAAAAGAAGTATATTTTGGTAAACACAAAAAGATACTTCCCTCCATAAAACTATAGTTAAATCTGTTTCTCTCTCTCTCTTTCTTTCTTTCTTTTCTTTTTTTTTTTTTCTTTTTTGGAGTGCTTGGGCTCAAACTCAGGCCTTCCATATGTAGGTAAGTGCTGTCAGCTGTGTCCATACAGCCTCACTGGGGCTACAGACCTATACCACCTTGTCCTGAGTTTCATTTAATTTAAATGTTCTTGACTCTGAGGTGTTTAATTTTTCTTTTTGTTCTTTTCCTTTCTCTCTCTCTTATTTTCTTTCCCTTTAAGGAAAGAACTTACTCTGTGTAGCTCTGACTGCCTAGAGTTAGCCCTGTACACCAGGCTGAGCTCAAACTCAAAGATAGATCTGCCTGTGCTTCCCAAGCACTGGGCTTAAAGATGTGTGCCACCATGCCCACTTTGTTGTTCTCCTTTTCAACTTGACGGCCCCCTCTATAGAAATGGTATGTGTAAAGAGTTAGGCTGTGTGTACGTGATGTACTGTGTAGCCCTGGCTGGCCTAGAAGGTGCTATGTAAACCAGGCTGGCCTCTGATCTGAGTATAGGGATTAAAGGCGTGTGCCACTACATTGGCTAATTTGGCTTTATTTGAAGATGGAGCTTCTGTAGGCAGATTGCTTAGTTCTTGCATTTTGGTCCTATCATGACCTTTGGATCTTCACAAGGCAAAGGAAGTATTTATTTGGTCAGTGGCTACCTTAGGGAAATCACAGACACTAAGTATTTGTCCATAGCATCTATTTTCCCATGTATGATTTTCACATTCTTCCTTGCAAAGGAGTCTGTGATCTCCAGTTCATACCCAGACACACATTTTTAAAGCTGGCATGGTGACCTCACACCTGTAGTTCTAGCATACAGGAGGGTAAAGCTGTTCTCAACCACATAATGAGTTTGAAGCCAGTACGGGCTATATGAGTAAAATACCAGACTGGGGTGGAGGCGGGTGGGGGGGGATAATCTGAGGTAACTCATTCTCTCTTTGAACTATGGTTTCATCGTTAGTTTATCAAATGTCCAGAGTATACGTTCCCTAACCACTAGCACCTTAGCAATGACAAGTTCCTTGAACTTCAACAGAATAGTTTTCAGATCTTCTAAGAGAAGTCTTGTTTCATTGTTTTCTTTAACAGTAAAACCAATACAATATGCAAGAAGTGCGCTCAGAACGTGCAGCTGTATGGAACGGTGAGTAGGATTTTTTTGAGCCAAAATCTCAACAGGAGTGAGTACTGAGGTCTCTCAGAACTCAACTTTCCAGGCTGGAGCCATGACTCAGTGGTGAAGAGTACTTGGTGCTCTTCCAGAGGACCTGGGTTCAGTGCCCAGTACCCACATGGTGGCTGACAACCATGTGTAACTCCATTTCCAGGGGATCAGATGCCCATACACATAAAATATTTTAAAACCATATCTATATATGTGAATATATATATAAAACATTTCACCTTCCTTTTTTCCCCTCCTTTCTCTCTCCCTCCTCCCGTCTTTCCCACCTTCCTTCCAAGTCATTGTGTGTTGACGCAGCACAGCGTGCATGTGAAGGTCAGAGGACACCTTTGTGGAGTCAGTTCTCCTCTACATTCGTTAGTTCTGGGATTGGCAAGCTTTGCCCATTGAGCTGTCTCTTCGACTTTTTTTTTGTTGTTTTGCATCAGGGTGTCACTGTCTGGCTCTGGCTGGAACTCACTCTGTAGACCAGGCTGGCCTCAAAATCATAGAGATCCACCTGCTCCTGCCTCCCAAGAGCTGGAATTAAAGGTATTTACCACCATGCTTGGGCCTGTTTTTCTGAGACAATGTCTCATGTATCCCAAACTGGCCTCAAACTCAATTATGTTCTATTGGATTTTTTTTGTTAAAGTTTCTTTATGGACACTTATGAGCTTTGATGATTTGTTATTTTTTTAAATCAATAATTGCTGGTAGTTTCGCACACCTTTAATCCCAGCACTCGGGAGGCAGAGGCAGGTGGATCTCTGTGAGTTCGAGGCCAGCCTGGTCTACAAGAGCTAGTTCCAGGACAGGCTCCAAAGCTACACAGAGAAACCCTGTCTCTAAAACCCCCAATATAAACAAACAAACAAACAGATAAAATGAGTAATCCTATGGGGGTTACTTTTTTATGATGCTGAAAATTGAGCTTCATTTAAACACTGTAGGGGCAGATGCATGATGTTGGGAATACATGTTTACCATGTGTCATGGGCTACAGTGTGGGAATTGCTGCTCTAAAAAAATGGGCCAGTGTTTTATGACATACTTACTTGATCTTTTTTCTCTCTTTTAAGCCTAAGCCTTGTCAGTATTGCAACATAATTGCAGCGTTTATTGGCAATAAATGCCAGCGCTGTACGAATTCAGAGAAGAAGTATGGACCCCCATATTCCTGTGAACAGTGCAAGCAGCAGTGTGCGTTTGACAGGAAAGATGATCGAAAGAAGGTAAATTGCTGGGTTTTTCTTTTTTGTCTTCTTTTTTTTTTTAAATTATATTGGATCAAATCAGGTAGGCATAATTCTGAGTTCTTCTGTTATTGACCTTGGGGAGTTAGACTGTTTTCTTTATCAAATCTAGACCAATATATTTTAGCATTTCTTTAAATAATTTTTTGTTACATTTATTTATTATGTGTCTATGAGAGGGATGTTGCCACAGTGTACACATGTGTGTGTGGGGAGGTGGGTGAGTGGGTGGATAAGCTCTCTCCTTCCACTATGTGGGTCCCAGGGATCAAACTCAGGTGGACAGGCTTGGTACCAAGTGCCTTACCCACTGAGCTTGCTGTATATGTGCATACCATGTGTGTGCTTGGTGCTGGACAGGGTCAGGAATGGACATCTTCATATCCCTGGACCTGGAGCTGGGTGTGGTTGCAAGTCACCACGTGCATGCTGGAATCAAGTCCGGGTTCTCTACAAGAATAACAGTGCAGCCTGGTGGTGGTGGCACACGCCTTTAATCCCAACACTCGGGAGGCAGAGGCAGGCGGATCTCTGTGAGTTTGAGGCCAACCTGGTCTACAGGAGCTAGTTCCAGGACAGACTTCAAAGCTACAGAGAAACCCTGTCTCGAAAAACTAAACTAAAAAAAAAAAAAAAGGAATAACAGTGCTCTTACCCACCGAGTCATCTCTTCAGCCCATCTTCCCTTTTGATTTTTAAGACAAGGTCTCTCTGCATCTGGTTAGCCTGGAACTCACTGTATAGACCAGGTTGGCCTTGACTGTTGAGATTAAGGTATGTGCCACCATGCTCTGTCCATTTCTTCCCATTACAATTACATTTTATATATTTATATTTACTTCTGTGTTCATGTGTGTGCCCACCTTTGTACCACAGACACACCTGTGGAGTTCAGAGGGCAGCTTGTAGGAGTTGGTTCTCTCTTACAATATGCTTTCCAGGTATTGATCTGAGGCCACCAGGTTTGGCAACAGGTGCCTTTATCTGCTCAGCAATCTTGCTGGCCCCTCACATTTTGTGTTTATTTACCCATCTTTCCCTAACATTTCTTAAGAATTCAGATTAGGACCTGGGAGATTACTCAGTGGATAAAGGTTCTTGCTGCCAAGCCTGATGACCTGAGTTCATCTCCAGAACACACATGGTGGAAAGTGAACACTGACTTCTGTAAATTGTCCTCTGAACTCCACATGCATAAACAAGCCACCTCCCTTGAATAAATAATAATGTAATAAATTTTTAAAATGAATCAAATTATAGTGAGCAATATTCCATATTAGTGGTAACTGCAGTGTCTTGATGGATCAAAATGGATTGGAGTTTGATCATACTGTTCTCTCTATGCTTGAAACCCTCTAGGGGCTTCCATTTCTTTTTATTTTATTTTTTCTTTCATTTTTTAGAGACAGGGTTTCTCTGTGTAGCTATGACTGTCCTGGAACTCACTCTGGACCAGACTGGCCTTGAATTCACAGAGATCAGCCTGTCTCTGCCTCCCAAGTGCTGGGATTTAAAGGCATGCGCCACCACCACCTGGCTGTGGCTTCGATTCTACTTGAATAAAATCAAAACTCTTCCATGTTTATGAGGTCTTACCCTCCTCTCAGTTGTGACCACCTCTCAGTCTCCAGGCATCCTGGCTTTCTTCTCTCTGTCTTTGTGCTGGCAATTCTTTGCTTTATGCAGCCTTTTCGAGAGTGTTTTAATTGGTTTCTTTGTCTTAATTTGGATGACACCTCTTTACAGAGACTTTTTGGAAAGAAGAGGAGGTGAAACAGGTCTCATATAGCCCAGGCTGGCTTTGAACTCCCTGTGAGGCTGAGGAAGAATTTGAATTCCTGATCCTCTTGCCTCTGTCTCCCTAAGTGCTGGATTACAGAGGTACACCACAGCACATGCCAGAGACAATCTTTAATTTCATTAGTTACAATTCATATCACTGCCTTATATTCTTCAAAATGTGATATTATGAAAAATTATCTTCTATATTTCATGTTTCTCTCCCCATAAGGTTGTGAACTATTTAGCCATCTTTTTTCTCTGTTGCAGTTCTAGTAGCCTGGACATAGTAAGGAGGTCGTAAGGAAACACTTAGGAATGAATGTATTATATAGTCCTGAAACTCTGTCAATGCCCAGAGGTGTTTGTGCTCTCAAGACTGACTCTTGATAACCATATTTATTAGTTTATAGTAGAGGGACATAACTTTCATTAATGAGAATATTCCTGTCTGCCAGCTGGGACACCTTTCCCTAAGCAAGATTTTGAAAAAGCTGTGTTAATAAAATTAAGAAACATCTTAATTTTATTTAAGTAGTGCGCTTAATTTAAGTAGTGCGCTTCCCTGGGCTGCAGAGATGGCTCAGTGGTTAAGAGCACTGGCTGCTCATCCAGAGGATCCAGGTTCCAGGTTTGAGTCCTAGCACCCACACAGCAGTTCACAACAGCCTCTTTTTTTTTTTTTACAATATTTTTTTGTTTTTTTTTTAAAGATTTATTTATTTATTTTTATTATGCACCCAACATTCTGCCTCAATGTATGCCTGCATGCCAGAAGAGGGCGCCAGATCTCATTTCAGATGAGATGTGAGCCACCATGTGGTTGCTGGGAATTGAACTCAGGACCTCTGGAAGAGCAGCCTGTGCTCTTAACCACTGAGCCATCTCTCCAGCCCTTACAACAGCCTCTTAAACTCTAGTCCCAGAGAATCCAAGGCCGCCTTCAGCTTCTGAATGCTCTGCACACAAATGGTACACAAACACAGGCAAAACACTCATACACATAAATAAAAGTAAAGAAAAATAATAGTGTCCTGTTCATCTCTAGGGATAGGGGACAATTTGGGCTTTGTAGTATGTTAGACCTGAGTCCTTCTCTTTCCTGGGTCTAGCTGAATGATCTTGAACAAGTGATTCTTATTATGTGACCATTTCTTTATCTTTTCTTTAGGGAATAACAGCTACAGCAGAGAAACAGGGAGACTGAATGAGGTAGTTACAGAAAATAACTTTTGTTTTGTTTGTTTGAGACAGGCTTTCACTGTGTAGCCCTGGATGACCTGGAACTCTGTAGCTCAGGCTGGCCTTGAACACATAACTATCTGGTATAGGAGGTTCTTCTGTTCATGTGTCGCTTTTATTGGTTAATAAATAACTGCTTTGGGCCTGATAGGGCAGAACTTAGGTAGGTGGGAAAAACAGAACAGGACAAACAAGGGACCCTCTCCATGCAACAGCTATCTGCCTGCTTCTGCCTCCTGAGTGCTAATGTTAAAAGTTTGCACCACCACACTTGACTTACTTTTGTTTTTCGAGATAAAGTTTCATGTAACCCAGCTAGCTTTGGACTCACTATGTACTAAAATTGGCCTGAACTGCTGGTCCCCTTCCCTGCATCTCCTGAGTGCTGGGATTATAAGCATGTGTCACCACACTGAGATAAAATTATTTTTTTAATCACATTTTATTTTTATTTTAAAATATTTTAAATTAGGCTAGGCAGTGGTGGCACATACCTTTGATTTCAGCATTTGGGAGGCAAAGGCAGGCATCTGAGTTTGAGGCCACCCTGGACTATGTAGAGAAATCGTGTCTCAGAAAAAACAGACAAAATATTTAAACTAAAATATAATTATATCCCTTCCCACCTTTCAACCTCTCCCATATTCCCTACTCTCTTCCCTCTCAAATTTTAGGCCCTCTTCTTCTTTGTTCTTGTAGCCTACATACTTATAAACACATAAATATGTAAGTGTAACCTGCTTAGCACACTTAGTGCTATTTGTATGAATATGATTTCAGAACTGACCAGTTGGTATTGGATAACCAGTTAGAGGACACATCCCTGGGAAAGACTCAGCATTCCTTAGTTGCCTGTAGTCTAGATAAAATTCTTTTTGTTTGTTTGGTTTATTTCTATTTTATTTTATTTTTTTCCTTGAGAGGATTTCTGTACATAGCCCTTGCTGTCCTGGAACTCACTGTGTAGACCAGGCTGACCTCAACTCAGAGATACAGAGATCCCCTTGCTTCTGCCTCCTGAGCTGGCATCAAAGGTGTGTACCACCACCGCCTTGACTTTTTTTTTTTTAATTTATTTAACGTTATTTTATGTGCATTGGTTTGAAGGTGTCAGATCCCCTGGAACTGGAGTTACAGACAGTTGTGAGCTTCCATGTGGGTGCTGGGAATTGAACCTAAGTCCTCTGGAAGAGCAGCCAGTGCTCTTAACCACTGAGCCATTCTCTCCAGCCCTTTGTTTTCTTTTGAGACAAGATTTTAACTTAGTACCTGTCTTGGAACTAACTCACTTTGTAGCCCAGGCCGGCCTCAGGCTTACGAGCCACCACACCTGTGTTGAATTTTCCCCTTAAAGCAGAGTTAGAGTTTAAAGGCAAAGTTGTTGGGACTGGGGAGCTGGCTTGGGTTACTCTTACAGACCTGGATTCGGGCCCCAGAGCCCACGCGACAGCTCTTAACCATGTGTAACTCAGTTCCAGGAGTTAGACACACCCTTCTGCACTCCAGAAGCATCAGACATTCGAGTGGTGCACAGACACACACTTGGGCAGAACACCCATACACGTAAAATAAAATAATCCTAAACATTTAAGATATTGGCCCAGATGTGATGGCACATGTCTTTAGTCCCAGCCCTTGGAAGAGGCAGACAGATCTCTGTGGACTTCATAGTGAGTTCCAGGAGAGCCAAGGATACTTGGTAAGAGCCTGTCTCAAAAGAAAATAAGTTTCTCTGTGTAGCCCTGGCTGTCCTGGAGCTCATTCCGTAGTCCAGGCTGGTCTCATACTCAGAGATCTACCTGCCTCTGCTTCCGGAATGTTGGGATGAAAGACATAACTATAAAGCAGTCAATTTTTATGTGTATGGCATCATACTAAGTAGTTTATGTACATTGTCACTAAATCCTGTGACTTGCTCCAGGCTCACCCAGCTTGCAAGTAACAGGACTGGAGCTTAGCCAAAGTGGTTCTGTTGCCAGTCCTTGTGGTCTTAGTGCTCAGGGTTAAGCGCTGATCTCACCTCCTCTTCATTTTGCCTCGTCTTTCAGGTAGATGGGAAGCTGCTATGCTGGCTGTGCACGCTGTCCTACAAGCGTGTCCTTCAGAAGACCAAAGAACAGAGGAAACACCTGAGCAGCTCTTCTCGAGCCGGCCATCAGGAGAAGGAGCAGTACAGCCGCTTGAGTGGTGGCAGCCATTACAACAGGTAACCCCAGGTCCATGAGAGGACTGCAGGGGCAGGCAGTCCAGTGCCTCACTCCTCAGGCCATCAAGGAGGGTGTTGTCTCAGAAGTTTCCTCTTGTTATCAGCCTTTGCAAGTCTCTTGCTTGACATAGTTATACTTCCTATGTCTCCAAGGGCCAGGAAGGTTTCTGTATCGTGTCTTTAAGGTGTGTAGAACTTGTAAGTGGAATTCTCAACTTTAATCATGCATAATCTCTTGGGGATTGGATGTTTTGTTTTCTGGCTAGAGAGAGCATTTTAAATATATATTTGGATAAATAGTTGATAGGTTTTCTAGATTTTGTCAGGATGGGAGCCAGTTGAAAGATGTCCTTTTGTTGATGGCTGAAGCTTCCATTTAAAATGTGTACAATGATGAGAACTGGGGCTTAGGTTTAATACTTCTCTAGCAAATTTTCTCGTGGACAATGAGAAAGAGACTAGTGTTACCTCATGGGTTGTTGTGAAGGTAAATTACGTAGTACATGAATAGCAGTTTGTTTTCTAATGACAGTATTCAGTGGGTTTTAGCTGGTTTTTGTTATTGCTGTCATTATGGGTTTGTTTGTTCACTAGGCATTATTAAGTACTCTCGTGGGCCGGGGCCTCTGCTGGGAATACAGAGATGAATAAAAGCCTTGCTGCTCTCAATAGTGTGCCTTCTGGTAGAGAAGACAGACTTATAATCAAATCATCACAGTCTAATGCAATGGGCACCACTTTGAAAACTCATCAAGATCAGGAAGGTAGGGAGGCAGGAAGGCTGGCTTGGAAGGATCTTGCTGTAACTGTCCCTGGGTGGATTGGACTTCCAGATGACGACAAGATGGGCATCCTAGTAGAGGGACTAGTGCTCAGAGGACCACAGGGCATGAGGTCACACAGAGCCCCTGAGAATATCAGCCCATTTGTGTTGTAGGAAACTGGAGGAGGAGCAAAGAACTCTGCACACATAGTCAGGGGCTAGGGAAGGACCTAGCTTGTGTTGGCAGTAATTACCCTGACTAGTAGAGAAGGCACGGGGAAAAAAGGAACCGAGGACTGGGAATGTAGCTCAGTGTAGTGTTTGCCTAATGTTTGTAAGGCCGTGGGTTTATAGCTCTTCCCATTGGGGCTGCTCTCTTTATGTAAGTATAGGTAAGCTAAGAACAGGAACTTCCATCTCAGCCTGGAGATGGTGGTACACGCCTGTAATCCCAGCACTCTGAAGCAGAAGGATCAGGAGTTCAAGGACAATCTGAGGTATATAGGGAGTTCTAGGCCAGCCACAGCTTCATAAGGAGTTCTAGGCCAGCTTGAGCTACATGAAACCCTGTCTCATCTTCACATACCCCAACTTCTCCCACCTTCACGCCTACTACACACATACAAAGAATCACCCTGAGGCACTGAATTGAGACAGACAGAAAGTTCTTTGGAGTGAAGATTATCAGAAGCTTAGATCTGTGGGTCAGTCAAAACATAGAGGCAGTTGCTGTGTGAGTAAAGAATAGTTCTTGGGTTTCTCAGATGGAGCATAAACCAGGAAGGGGGTAAAAAAGTTCAGTTTTTGAAATGCTTGTAGCAAAATTGTTCATAGCTGCTGAGCCTGGATCTGAGAAGATTCAGACAGAAGCCAGTAGTAACTCATTTAAAAAAAAAAATTACTAAGAGTGAAGATGATTTTACATCAAGGGTCCTGCAGCCACAGTCGAGCTTAATTCAGTAGGATGTCAAATAGCATCTAGAATCTGCATCGTGGTCCCTATGTCTCGTGACTCTAATGGAGGCGATCCCAGGGACCCACTTTTCCATCCCGTTAGAACTGTGTGTTTGGATGGTAGAACTCAGAGGAGACCCTGAGAACAGAAGTTGGAAGCATTCAGTATTCAAGAATCAGGAAGAAGACATCCCCAAAATAGGAAGTCTGAGTGATCAAGAGTTCCAAGGATAGAACAATCCCTGGAATCACATACTGAGGAATATGTAATAAGAGGTCTAGTGACTGGGGAAGTGGCTTGGTAATCAAGAGCACTCATTGATTTTCCAGAGGATCTGGGATCAATTCCCAGCACCTGCATGGTGGCTCCCAGCCATCTGTAGCTCTAGTTCCAGGAGATCTGATGTCCTCTTCTGGCCTTTGAAGACACCAGTCATGCACACAGTGTGCAGATGTACAATGCAGACAAAATACCCACACAAGATAAGAGTATTTTTTTAAAAAGTGTGGAACACCCTTGGGTGTGCCAATTGGGACATCTGTCAATATAAAGGGCTTTTGTGCCAGCCGCATACTTCCAGCTTTGGTGTTACGGCCAGTTTTGGGTGACTGTACTAGACTTAAAGCTAGTTTTATGGTGGCACTGAGGTCCCAAGTGAGTTCATAGAGATGTGATGAGGAAGGCTGGGGGTTCAGATGTGCCTGCTTGGCTCTTTTTACAGCTTCCCTGCTGGATGTCCTTGGCTAGGCCAGAGACTAACTTGTCTGTACTTCCCAGATCTACGGGATGGAAGGTGCATGGGGATGGAGATGCAAAAGACTCTCTAAACCAGAGACATATTTCTTATAGTTTGAGAAGGATGGAGATGGAAAAGACTCTAACCCAGAGACATACTTTTTACAGTTTGAGAAGCTCTGTTTTCATGCCTATTCATCAGTCAGGTAGTAAGTCATTAAGGTCAAAATGGTTTTTGATCCTGTGGAAGCTGGCTATTCATGCATCCAAGCATCCAAACCTATAAACCACCTTGGTAGGTTTTACTAATCAGAAATAAGCTGTTGCCCAGAACATTGTTGGTCCATTGACAGACTTTCCTTGGAGTGTTTTATTAATCTTTGATTTCTAATGTGTGTCTCTCTCTTTTTGCCATCAAAAGCCAGAAAACACTTTCTACATCTTCAATTCAAAATGAAATCCCAAAGAAAAAGTCCAAGTTTGAGTCAATCACAACTAACGGAGACAGGTGAGCCAGATGGAGTCTAAGTACACGCACTTGAAATGCATACGTAGCTCTTGACTACACTTGAGGGTGTACCTCGGAGCTAACCCGGGTCCTGAGTGGACCTGTTATGGGTGCTGTGCTAGTCACTTGATAGCTGTAGATCAGCGCTACTGAGAGCTGTATATCAATTGAATATAAGAAGATGTTAGCCCCTGCTTGTAGCCTCAGAACTTGGGAGGTTGAGTCAGATAGGTGATCTTGAGTTCAAGGTCAGGCCACAGAACAGGATAGTTTGATGTGATGGCATACTCTTTTATTCCAGCACTTGGGAGGCAGAGGCAGGTAGATCTCTGTGAGTTAAAGGTCAGCTAGGGCTACATAGTGAAACCCAGTTCAAAAATAAAAAAATACCTATTTAGAAATAGTAACTAGATTAATTGTAGTTAAATTCTTCAGTCCATTAAGGAAGTCTAAGAAGTGAGGAGATGAATGTTTTTCTGTGTGGTCTGTGCCTGTAGCCTCCAGGAAGAGTTGATTAGAGAGAGAGCAGAGGTGGGGTGAAGGCAGGGCTGCATGTCTGCCAGGATGCTATACACTTCTTCAGAGCCTTCCAGTACAGATGCTGGGACAGACAGAGTAAGAGACAGTTCAGTGGTTTTGTTTCGTTTTTTGGCCTGCCTAAATGCATATTTTCATTGCTCGCTTTCCTTTCTCCTTCTCAGCGATGCTTCCTCTCATGAGCTGCTTTGTCCTAATACCCAGAGCCCGTCTGTGTTGGTGCAGTGGGCTGCTTCCCAACAGAGTCTTGGAGCCATCCATTTTCCTGTTCCTCCAGGCCCAGGCATCCTGAAGTGAGATCACCTGACACTTCCCCAAAGTCCTTGGAATCTTCTCCATTCTGAGAACTCGCCTTTGCCGCTCTCCCTCCCAGCAGCCGAAGGGAGGGCCTTACCAGGGTGGCCTGTTGTTTTATCTCACAGAATGTAAATTGTCTGTGGATCTCCTCTCCCCTGTTGCATTTTTATTTACTTGATTTCAGCTCCTACCAAGGTAGTGCCTGTTGACATTAGTTTAATTGGTTTTCAACTTCTTGAGCCTTTTGGAAATGCCTAGGTTTTTCAGGTTGTATGTGGGAAAGAACCAAGCAGGCCAACTTTCTGTAGTCTTTCTGCATTCTTTTGAGCACCTGGTTGGGCTGTTCTGAAGAAAACATATATGTCCATCATCTTTGCGTGATCCTGTGAAAACTGCTTAAGGAAGTTTTTGGACCCCTAGGAAGCAGGCCAGTAAAGCCCAGCCCGGTACTTCCAGACCCTCCGTTACTTATCCCCAGGCTGTGCTAATGGTCCCAGGAAGCTTGTTCATAGTTGCGATAGTTGCAGCTCTGCCAGCCCAGTCCTTCGCGGCTGCACCTCTTGCCAGCTTGTTTGTCTGGAGGTGTTGCCACCAGTCTGTCTGTTGCCTTGGATGCACCAAACTAAAACCTAGGCTGGCCCTACAGATTGTTGAATCTCATCCGGCCACAAGTAAGGATGGTTTTGCTCAGTGGGATGCTAGTCCTTGCCTAGGTACTTGGTCTTTTTTATGTCCTCCAGAGAAGACATTAAAAGATCATTTTTCCCGTATTGTTTTTGTGTGTGTGATGCTGGGAATTGTACCTAGGACTTCCCACCTATTAGGGAAGTGCTCTACCACTAGGCTGTATCCCTAACCTCATACTAATATAAAAAGTTATTGTTTTTATTTTATCTGTGTGGGGAGGGGAAGAGTTAGCTATAGAGTCTCACTGTGCAGTTTTGGTTCTCCTAGAACTTGGTGGTAGTCCAAGCTCACCTAGACTTGAGGCGGCACTCTTGCCCCAGCCCACTGATTACAGGATGTGCCACCATGTTTATCCTATAATTTGAAAATGTAGTAATTTGTTCTGCTGCCACAGAAACGTTCATACATAAACAAATTTCTTTTGCATGTTCCTGCATTATTAGTGCTCTTAATAATTTAGTCTACTTATTTGCATTTCTTTTAAATATTCATGACACAGCATAAGTTATATTTTGTTATCCTTTTTACTTTTTGTGGGGTTTTTCCTGCTCTTTTTCTTTGTTTTGAAAAAAGCATTCTGCAACTGGGCTGGTGTCCCCACCTGTCGTCCCAGCACTCAGGAGGTGGAGGCAGGAGAATCAAGAGTTCAAGGTCATCCTCAACTACATGGGGAACTCAAATCAATCTGGAGTACATGAAACAGTGCTTCAAAAACAATAACAAAAGAGGCATTTGATGGAGGAGGGTTAACTGTCTATGTGTTACTTTCATTGGTTAATAAAGAAACTGCCTTGGCCTTTTTGATAGGCCAGCCCTTAGGTGGGTGGAGTAGACAGAACAGAATTGTGGGAGAAAGAAAGCAGAGGCAGGCAGTCGCCATGACTCTCCTCTCTGAGACAGCTGCAGGTTAGACTCCTCCTGGTCGTGCTACACAGATTATTAGAAATGGGTTAGATCAATATGTAAGAGTTAGCTAATAAGAGGCTACAGATAATGGGCCAAACAGTGTTTAAAAGAATACAGTTTCCATGTAATTATTTCAGGAGTAAAGCTAGCTGGGAGGCGGGAAGCAGCCCACCACTCTTTCTACAGGCATTTCTACAAATTTTGATACTTTTAAAATATTCTAACAATACTTTATTTATAACTATGAAATGCTTCAGGAGTTTACTTGTCATCCTTACATAGCAGCTATGCTATATTTTAGTATATGTGCTGCCAAAGCAAGCACTTCATATATATCATATATATATATGGAGGGAGGGAGGGAGGGAGGGAGGGAGACAGAGAGAGAGAGAAAGAGAGAGAGAGGGAGGGAGGGAGAGAGTGTGTGTGTGTAAATGGGGGAGTATAGAGAGGATCTCCTGTATCCCAGGCTGGTCTCATTCTCTGTGTAGTAGAGGATGACCTTGAACTTCTGATTGGTCTCTTCTCTACCTCCTGAGTACTGGAATTACAAGCATGGATGACTTTTGCCAGGTTTATGTATTACTAGGGATCCAGCCCAGAGCCTTGTGCGTGCTGGGCAAGCACTACCTGCCGAGGTACATCCCTAGCCCTGAAGTATGACATATATACTCAGGATGGGAGCAGCTGTTGAGTAACTGCTGAGTGCTTCCTTAGCACAAGGCCTTTAGTTTCAATCTCCAACACTATTTTTTTCTTAATTTATGTTTTTGCTCTTTAAATTTTATTCTTTACGTCTTCTGTATGTATGTTGCTTCACGACAGTTCTGGTGATCTTATACTGCCATATTCTCTTATTTAATATTGAGGCATGTTGATTAACATTCTCTCTCTGTCTCTCGATTGAGATAGGGTCTCACTATGTAGACCTGGCTGGACTGGAACTTTCTGTTAAATTGATAAGAATATTACTATACCTGGTCTTTGCCAAACGTCTAAGAAGCAGTCCTGGAACTTTCTGTGCAGACCCAGGCTGGCTTAGAACCCGGGGATCTGCCTGCATCCATCTCTGCCTCCCAAATGATAGGATTAATAGTGTGCACCACTGTGCCCCGCCTCCCCTCTCACTCATTGTCCCTTGGCTTTTCATGTTGCAGACAGAACACATTATCTTAGCTTTCTTTGATGTTTTGATACTCAGAAGGTGTTTTAATCTATTTGTTTTTCAGTAATCTACAAAAGTTGCAGCCCCCACTCTGTATTTTCTAATCAATAGTTAAAATTGTGACCAAAACTTTCTGATTTGAGGAGTGCGAGTTAGACAGTGTTCCTTCCTTGAGAAAACAGACCTGTCACTCTTGAGTCATACTGCTAAGTGCTCCATAGGTGGTCCAGAATCCAACTTAGCAGTGGTTGGCAGCCAGGCATCTATAGTTTGTCATTTCCAAAAAACCTTTTAAATTTCAATTTATCCTCTGCATCTGAGCTGTGCCTGCAATATTGGGCTTCCTGTGGCCTTTGATGATGGTCCAGGCAGCTTGCTTTGTTACTACAGCCCTGTTTTGATTCAACCAGGAAAAGAGTTGTTTGTCTTGAGGGTGGGCTTTGCTGTTCAGCACGAGCTGGCCTTGAATCTCCAATCTCCCTGCCTCAGCCTCTTAACAGAGAACCTGTTCTTGTGCTAAAAGCTTTCAGAAAAGGCAGGAAAGTTCCCTGTGTGTGGAGGGATTTGGAGGGACTAGCTTTCTGCCTTGGCAGCTAGTCGTTGAGTAAGATGGGAGCTAGAGTCAGGGGGATCAGGCCCTAATGCAGGATATGCATGAGGCCCTAGCTTCAGTCTCCAGCAGTGCCAACAGCAACAACAGAGATAATTCCCTAAGAAGCAGGTAGAGCAGAGCTGAGCTTTCGGAGCTTTGGAGACAATGAAAAGTTACCCTAGGTCAGCCAGTACTCTGCCCTTCCTTGCTGTAGTTATGAATTTAATAGACTCTGTGGGGATACAAGGAAACATCTAGAACTGAACTTGGAGAAGACTGATGGGCCTTTATCCTGAATCCCTATTTTGTTATTTTGCATTGGCTCTTGCTCGTCCCGCACTTGCCCTTGTGCGCATTCATCAGTTAGGAGAACGTCAGTCTCTTCTTCCTCCAGTGCTCTGTTCAGATGCTTCCTGTGGGCAGGGTGAGGGTGATGCTGGGTCAGTGGTTGGTGTCTTCCAGCCCCCTGCATAGGAGTATCTGACTTGCCAACTGTGAGGGAGCATATGCAGTAGAAAGGCTGTTGGGATTCTTCCAATGCTGCATGTTAGCTGCCACATAGGATTCAGGAAGGAGTAAATGCAAGGAGGCTGTGAGTTGTTGCTCTGTTGGCAGAGAGTTGAGATCAGTGTCCAGATTTGTGTGTTGCTTTAAAGATTGTCAAGAAAAGTAAAGAACTTCCTTTGAGGATTCCTTGGAGAAACACAGGAAGTGACCTTTTGGCAGTGATTGCTTGTTTTCTGTGGCACCTTTGATACCACTGAAAACTTTGGATCCTCACCCAGAAAAGATTTTACATGGGCAAAACTCAAATTTCAGGGCCTTACAGATGCCCTGTAATGGGAGAAAGTGGGAGGGTCTGCTAAAAGGATGTGAGTGCCAGCAGTGCTTTGACAAAGTGGAGAGTTGTAGGAAGCATGTGATGTGACTGGAGTTTCACCTTTGACCCTTTTCCCGCTACACAACACAAATTCTTTTTTTTTCTTCTTCTTCCATGGCAGGGTTTCTCTGAGTAACAGTTCTGGCCAGTTGTAGCTCATGTAGACCACACTGGCCTTGAACACACAGAGATCCACCTGCCTCGCCTCCCGAGTGCTGGGATTAAAGGCATGCGCCACCACTGTCCATCTCAAATTCTTTTTGTTGTTGTTGTTGTTTGAGACCAGGTCTCATACTATGGTTCCGACTGTCCTGAAATTCACTATATAACCTAGCCTGGCCTCAAACTCACAGAGATCCACCTGCCTCTGGCTCCTGAGTGTTGGGAGTAAAGGCGTGCGCCAGCACCAGCCAGTTGGTGCTTCAGTTTCTTAGGCGCTGAGCTGCATCACAGGACTTAGGGCTGGGCACATGCTCACAATTGATAATCTATCCAGGACTCTAGGAAAAGTTCTCAAGCATGACTGTATCACCAGAAACCCCAGAGATCTTCAGTGAGCCTGAAGTAGTAACCTTGGCTTTTAGGATGTCATATTATGTTGGTCACATGTATGAGAGATTGTGGGGTTGTGGTTTGGGTTGGCATCATTTTCTGATGACTACCTTTCCTGTGTTTAGTTCAAGTCCAGCAGATCCTGGTGAGTCTGATGTAGACAGAGCAATGTGCTTTTTGGTGGGAATTTAGATAGTTACTGAAGCCCCCAAGTTCACCATCAGGTGACCTGGTGTATGTTTTTAAGTAGAGAAAAGTTTTCCATTCAAGTTATGGAATTTCTGTCTCTATTTTCCATCCAGCTTTTCCCCAGACCTGGCTCTGGATTCTCCTGGCACTGACCACTTTGTCATCATTGCCCAACTGAAGGAAGAGGTGGCCACTCTGAAGAAGATGCTGCATCAGAAGGACCAGATGATCTTAGAGAAAGAGAAGAAGGTATGATGTCACAAGCCTTTCAGGCCAGAGATTGACAAAAATGAAGGTCCATGGGATGGGTATGATGCTTCTTCTCTGTTGGGTACTTACCATTGGTGGCTTAAAAGAGAGTCTGGTCAGCTTGGGATTCCCTGAGAAGAAGGTGTCTGTTCGCCAGGTTGACTCGGGACGGCATTAGGTTGGCCAGTCACCTCAGCAGAGGGGTTCAAAATTCTGATTTTTCTCAGCATGTCCAAGGAACTCCCACTTCTCACACGGGATATAAAAATAACGTGTAAGACTGAGGTTGTAGCTCAGCTGCGAAGTACTTGTCTAGTATGTACCAGGCATACCTAGAGTTTAGTCTCCAGCAAAGAACATATAACAATACACTCTGTGTGTGTGTGTGTGTTTGTGTGCTCACACGCACACACATGTGGGTGAGGAGGGGGACGAAACCCAGGGTCTAGTGTGTGTTAGGAAATGCTGTGCCACTGAGATACACTCTTAGCTAGCGTACTACGTAGTGTGAGCTGTCATAGGAGGTTGCCATCTCAATGTATTGAATAAAAGCCAGGTGTGCTGGCACAGACCTGTAATCCCAGCAGTTAGGAAGTTATGCGGGTTGATGACTTCTAAACCAGCCTTGATCATGTCAAGAAAGAGAGAAAAGGAAAGAAGGTACTGAGTGAGTGTAGAATTGGGATATAAAATGCCATTGTAAGAGAAATGTTTAATACCCTGAGGCTAAAACAACCTAATGCCTATTTCTTGCTTCTTCCTAGATGATTTGATTGCTCTTTTTAAATTTTGTTATTTTTTGCCCCAGCCTGGAACTCACTCTATAGGTCAGACCGTCCTCCAACTCAGAATTCTGCCTGGCCCTACCTCCTGAGCCATGGGATTAAAGGCGTGTATCATCAATGCCCATCTTAGATTTATTTCTTAAGTGTATGAGTATTTGCCTGAATGTGCATATGTACACCACAGTGTGCATGGCATCCTTGGAAGTCAGATGATGGCATTACAGCCACTGGATCTGGAGTTACAGGTGGTTGTGAGCCGCCACATGGGGGATGGGAACCAAACCAGGATTCTCTGCAAAGGCAACAAGTGTTCTTAACCACGGAGCCAACTCTCCAGCCCCGTTTTTGCTTTTTGAGACAGGATCTTGATATGTAGTCCTGACTGGTCTGGAACTTGCTCTGTGGACCAGGTTGACCTCCAACTTGCAGCAAAACTCCTTCCTTTACCTTCCAGATGTTAGGCTCACAAGAATACATCTGGCTCCTTCGTTATTTTAGAGGGCTGTTTCATTAATGATAGTTGCCCTACTAATAGACCTGTCATAAATACTGAATACCTTAATATCCTTAGTATCATTAGTCTGTCTTCATGCTTTAGTATTTATCTTTTAAACATTTTATTTATTTATGGAGTAGATGTATAATACAAAGTACATGTGGAGGCGTATGTCCAGGGGATTGAACTCAGGTCATAGGCTTGGTGGCAAGTGCTTTTTCCCATTGAGTCAACTCACTGGCCTCCTGGCCTCTTGCATGTTTGTTTGTTTTTTTCTCCAAGACAGGGTTTCTCTGTGTATCTCTGGCTGTCCCGGAACTCACTCTGTAGACCAGGCTGGGATTAAAGGCATGTGCCACTATAACCCAGCCGGGGTTTTTTTTTGTTTTGTTTTGTTTTGTTTTTGTTTTTTTTGTTTTTGTTTTTTTTTTTGAGACAGGGTTGTTCTGTATAGCCGTGGTTGTCCTAGAACTCATCCTATAGACCAGGATGGTTTGAACTCAGCCGCCTGCCTCCCGAGTGGATTAAAGGTGTGCACTACTATTGCCTAGCTGTGTTGTCTTGTGTTTTAAAGGGAAGAAGAGTTTACTTTTGCCTGTGGTTGGAGGGATTGTCTGTGCAGGGAAGAACTGGCAGGAGGTGAAGCCAGCCAGCCCAGTTTTACCTGTAGCCAGGAAGCAGAGCCTGTTTATGTGTATAGGTGTTTGTATGCGTGTTTGTGCACCATGTGCATGCAGTGTCCACAGAGTCCAGAAGAGGGCATCAGTCACCTGAAATTGGAGTTAGAGATGGTTGTGGGTCACCTTGTGAGTGCTGGGAATCAAACCTGTATCCCCTTCAAAAGCAACAAGTGCTCTTAACCACTGGGCCATCTCTCTAGTACTTGTTTTTGGTTTTTTCATTTATTATATTTTTATTTTTTCTGTGTATGTGTCCATGTTGAGGGAGGTGAGGTATGTGCGCATGCATGTGGAGGTCAGGGAACAACTTGAGTCCTCTTTCTTTCCTGCTAGGTGGATCCTGGGAATCGAACCCAGGTTTTTGGGATTTGGTGGCTAGCATCTATACCAGTGTTTCTCAACCTTCCTAATGCTGCAACCCCTTAATACGAGTCTCATGTTGTAGTGACCCTCAACCATAAGATTATTTTTGTTGCTACTTGTTATCTGTAATTTTGTTATGTAGCTGGGTGGTGGTGGTACACTCCTTTAATCTCCACACTCCAGAGGCAGAGGCAAGGGCTCCCTTGAGTTCAAGACCAGCCTGATCTACAGAGAGAGTTCTAGGACAGCCAGGGTTACATAGAGAAACCCTGTTTCCAAAACAAAACAAACACCTAATAGTATGAATTGTAATGTAAATATTTTTGGAGATAGAAGTTTGCCAAAGGGGTCTCAGCCCACAGATTGAACCTACAGATTTGCACTCACAGAGCCACCACTCTGACCCTTGTCCTGTTTTTGAGACAGGTGTGCTGTACAGTCCTCACTTCCTGGAACTTGCCCTAGAGACCAAACTATCCTTGAACTTGTGGCAGTCCCTGCTTTTGCTTCCCGAGTACTGGGATTCTAGATGTATGCTAGGATTACATATATATAGCCCAGCCTGGGCTTGAATTCATGTGCTGCTCAGAATGACTTTGTACTTCTGATCTTCTGTTTCCCTGGTTCTGGGATTACAGGCGTGTACCACCATGCATGGTTTAAATTTTATAGAAGTCCTGTGTTTTCATGCATTTGGCTGGGGGTGGGGGTCCTAAGACCTTGTGCGTGTTAGACGCACTTCACCTCAGCCCAGTATCTGTATCTTTTCCACTCTGCCGTATGATGGACAGATGGCAGACACCCACAGTTCTTGGACCAGATGAGAATGGCACAGACAGGACTTCTGCACAGTAGGGACCAGAAGAGCATTTGCTTCCTCCTTACAGAACTAAAGGCTTGAAAAGAAAAAAAACAAATAGCTCTTGTGTCCTGTACCTTCCAGGATGAAAATCACACTGCCTGGCTAAGACACCATCTCTCTGTGTCATGCCTGCCTATCTGTAGCCCCATCTGCTGCGACTGTAAAGTCATCATTCCTTGAAATAACAGCCCTTGGTGGCGTGTCTTTGTGCCTTTATCCATATTGTTCCGCTTCCATGCCTGTTATTTTGTCTCCACTCGGCTCACCAATCACTGCTAGCTGCCCTCCTCTAAACCAGCAGTCAGTAGGCGTGAGTGTGGAGTTAGAGATCTGCACCACATTAACACTGCTGCTCCTCACACTTAACCTTTTAACCCTCAGGCTGTTATAAAGATCAGACACAGTCTGAGTTAATTTTTAAAACAAATAGGGCCAGTTAGATGACTCAGCAGGCACAGGTGCGCTTGCCTTCAAACCCAGTGATCTGAATTTGATCCTCAGGATCCACACGGTAGAAAGAACTGACTCCCTCTCCACATGCACACTGTTGTATACACACCCTCACATGTAAATAGATAAGCAAGCGTAACTTACAAATCTTTTAATAAATAAAACAATAGGTACAGTGAGGTGGCTCAGTTAGTACAGTGCTGGCTTCCAAAGCCTGACAGCGTGACCTGGATCTCTGGAATCCATCTGTAGGTGAGAGGAGAGTCAACTCCACATAGTTGTTCCTGACTCCGTGTGTGCTGTGTGACTTTTGTGCACACACATATCATGCACAAATAATAATAGAATAAAAAATTTTAAAGTAATACGTGAAGATTGAATAAAATAATAAAACCAGTTATTTTGGAATTGAAAACAATGATTACTCTCAACTCCTCTCAAACCCTGTCAGCTTTTACTTGTACACACGTGCACGCAAGCATTCAGAGGGTTGTTGGAGAATCAAATCTTAAAAGGATTAGTAGTTTAAGTATCTAAAGGTTTTTGCTGTTGTTGTTTGGGTGTGTGTTTGTTTTGTTTGTTTTTGAGACAGTCTCCCTGTGGAAACCTAGACTGACCTTAACTCAAGGTTTCCCTCCTGCCTCTGTGCCTGGATTACACTTAAACATTACCGGCATGGACAGCCAGAAATGTTTGCTCGGAGTTGGGGGGGGGGGCGGTGGTGTGCAGCTGTAACTGTAGTCACTTGGGAGACTGAGACAGGAGAATTCTTGACCCTAGGACTTTGAAGATAGCCTGGGTAATGAAATCCAAAAAGGAAGAAAGGAGGGAGAGATTGGAGGGGAAAGGACAAGGAAGAGGGAAGGGAGAAAGGTAGTGAGCTCAGAAGTTTGGGGATCCTCAGAGAATGCTGTGTGGCTGCTGATGGAAGTGGGCTTCAGTAAGTTGGAAGACTGTCTCTTTAGGGCTCTGGTACCAAAACATTCACCATTAGCAAGGAGTTTAAGTCACTCTCACTTTTTCCTTCAGATTACAGAGCTGAAGGCTGATTTTCAGTATCAGGAGTCTCAGACTCGGGCCAAAATGAACCAAATGGAGAAAACCCACAAAGAAGTCACAGAGCAATTGCAGGTGAGTGAGCGGGGAGCGGTGTGCTCAGGACTGTCTGATAACCATCCCTTAGATGGCTTTCTCTCCGAGTGTTTACAGAGTAAGTACGTGGAACCCCTTCAGGCAGCTTTCAGTTTTTATTTAAGTTGGGTGTGTTTTCATCCTTTTATTTTTAAAAGATTTATTTTTTATTATGTATACTGTGTTCTGTCAGCATGTTTGCCTGAAGGACAGAATAGGACACCAGATCTCATTGTAGATGGCTGTGAGCCACCATGTGGTTGCTAAAAACTGAATCCAGTTCCTCTGGAAGAGCAGCCAGAGCTCTTAGCCTCTGAGCCATCTCTCCTCTCCAGCCCTGTGTTTTCATCCTTTTCTCTCAAGAACTGGAATTTTAAAATATGCTTTTTTATTTTTTTAATTCACCAGATGTGAATCCAGATGTCTGAATTATAGATCTCCTTATCTTGCTCATTAAAGCTTCCTGGTTGGTTTGTGTTGCACACATGGTCTTTTGTGCAGTAGTCCCAAGGGCTCAAGCTCACCAGTGCACTTACTTCTACCAGAAACTGTTTTACTTAACCAGGTGCCAGGCCCCAGAACTTCCAGTGTCTGCCTCGTGGTGTTCCATCCTTTACGTCCACACAGACAGCTGCCCTTACTATTGTTATTATTGCCCATTAAATTCATTCTGCACAGAAGCCATGTACCAGCTATCCTGTGAACGCTCTTCCTGCACTGACTTTTTATTTTTATTTTTAGGCCAAAAACAGAGAGCTTCTGAAACAGGCAGCTGCTTTGTCCAAGAGCAAGAAGTCTGAGAAGTCAGGCACCATGACGTCTCCATGAAGACCATGAGAAGGCTCCCACAACAACAGCCACTGCTCCTGGGTCAGGGTTGGCCACCCGGCTGTTCTCTGGGAACTGTGCTTTCTTACAGAATCTCTATTTTCTTACCGTTACCCTTCTTTGTGGGAATGTAGCGGGCTGAGTGGAAACACCTGGTTTGTGCTGTGTTAGGACTGCATGCTCAGTGGTTGGGGTTCAGACCTCCTCCTCCTCTTCCTCCTCTGCTCCCCTGTGCTCCTCCTCCTCTCTGTTTCCATAGTGGTCACTGCTCGGTGTTATGTGCGGAGTTTCTGTCCACTGTTACACCTGCCATCCCCACGAGCAAGTAGTCTGTCGTCCACTGTGCATCACTGCCGCCCTCCGAGCCTTGAAAACTGCCACCTTGAGACTTTGTGCAGGGAGAGCTTTCTCTCGCCAATAAACCTTTGCTTCAGGGTATACTCTTGGGTTTTTCCAGGTATATTATGTATGACCTTTGTACTATGTATAGACAGAGTTTTATTTATTTTTTAAAAAGGAAACCTTTTCTTGATAAAGGAATGATGGTAGCCTAGCTAGTTCTTGTAAAAGCAATGCCTCTTTGAAAAAAAAGAAAAATAATGCAGTCTTGTTTGCTAGTTTTTAGTAAAAGAATCCGATCTTTTCTTTCTCATTACCTTAGAGTCCCGATGCTAAGGTAATGCTGGAGGCTAAGAGTGGAGCTAAGTGCCTTCGGAGGACTCTGTGGAAGAACATTTGAGGGATACTTAAGGGTGCAGAGAACTGACCAGTCTGTCTTTAAGTAAGGGCAGAAAGAACGGTTGTCCAGGTTATACTGGACACTCCCTCCTCTATCTACCCCTCCTTCTCCTTTTACATAACTTTAAATTCCCACACTGCCACTTCTTTTTTAAAACATACCTGTTTCTTGCTTGTCAGCTGTCATACCAGGCTGTTAACAGAACATTTTATTTTATTTTATTTTATTTACCATGAGCAGATTCAAGTGGGATAAGATTTGAACTTGAGTGTTGCCGGGGTCAGCAGGGCTGCTTAGGTGTGGGCTGTGTGATGGGGAGAATCTCACTGCACCTCCCTTTCTCTCGCCCCATCCTGTGCACCCCCTGTTTTTAATGACGATGTTAGAAAACAAGTACTCCAGGGAGCCGCTGGGCCCCCTTGAGTGTGCCCCTCTCCCATCCTCACACAGCAGGCAGGAGAGAAGGGAGAGGTTACTGTGGAGCCTTACTCTTCGACTTTTGTGAAAGAAATAGAGATGGGTAGTGTGTGCCGAAACCCAGAACCAGCCCTGGGATCAGTGCAGGTGGTGCTGGCGTCAGAACAGATCATGAAGACAGGTGACACTTGTCCCGCATCCCCCAGCGTTGGGCAGTGGAGTTTGCTGTTCCCCGCAGGTGCTCTGTAGTTTGGGATTGCATTCTCACAGATGGACAGCCGCGGAGTGAGGGCTGTCTCCTCCGGGAGGAGACTGGAAGGAGTGTTGTTATCATGTCACTGGGTAGGGAGTGCGGGAGAACTGCTGAGCGAGTCACTTTGTACCTTTCTGAAGGAAAAACTTGTAAGCAAAGATAACTACTGTCTGTTATACAGTGTTTTCAGATGCGTTTGTGCTGGCTGGGGAAAGATGGCAGAAAAGAACGACAGTCGTGGTTTCTCAAACAAAACGTCAGGCTGAGAGATTGTGGCTGTGGAGTGTGATGGTATACAGACGCTCATTTAGTTTTATACTAAATCTTTTTTTTTTAAGGTCTTAGCATTTAATATTCAGCAAACCTACACATTTTCTAAACTATCATGAGCTCCTGAAAGGTAAAAGGGAAACCTTAGTCTTGAAATGTTGATTTTTTTTTTTAAAAAATCATGACAGCATTTTACCATGAAATTGAGTAACTTTTGGTAACACCTTCCGTTTCTTTGTATGTTTGTAATAATGGACATTTTAAAACATAGGAATGTTTTGGTTTGTACAGACTTTGGCAAATGTGTGTTAATAAAATTCATATTGACTCAGATAAATATTTTGACTCAGTTGCTGGGTTCTGTCTTCTTCCTCTTTCTCCTCCCCCTCCCTTGCTCTCACCTCTGTGTTTTTCTTTTCTGTGCTGGGGGTTGAGCGCAGGGCTGCTCAGGCGAGGCAAACAGTGCACCACTGAGCTGCACCTGGCCCATGTGTTTATTTCTTTCTGATTCACCTGTAGACATATTCCATCTTCCTGGCACCCTAAAGATAGCTTATCCTGTTTGTAAACTAATAGGGAGTTTGAAACCTGTCAGGAGTAACAGGGTTCTTGTTACCATTACTGTGAGACAAATGACCAGATTTTAATGACTCAATAGTTGTCAAATGCCTACAGGCTCTGTTAGATAATTTCAGTAGGGCAAGGACAAGAATTGGTTTCTGTTCCATAGCTAGGTTCTCAGCTAGGAAGACTGAAAGATCATGGGGCTGGAGTTGACCCCCCTCCCTTGGGCTGCGTGAGTGGAAGCAGAAGAGTTCTAACCGGTCACTTGGGTGACTTGGGTCCCTTCTATGTAATGTAGCCTTCCCTGGCATGGTGACCATACATGGAGACCCCAAGCAGCAATGTTATCGTGAATAAGGCAGTAGCTGTGTTCTGTCATCTGCTCTAGAGGTCACATGCCCTCATAGCCACTGTATATTCGTTAAAATAGTCAGAAACTCATGCAGACTCAAGGAGAGGACACAGATCCTTCCTCCTGGTTTAATGACAGCAGAAGTGCATGGGGATGGGAGCTGTTATGATGATCTTAGAATCTGCCACACGGAGTAGCTTCTGGAACTAAAACAGACCCAAGAGCAAGGCAGAAGCTGCAGTGTTTTTTATGTCCTGCCTTCAGACAAGACGGTTCTGTAATTTCTCCACCATCCTAATGGTTGCAGAGACAAAATTACCAACATTCCAGCAGGGGAAGGGGAAACCCACATGTTCACCCCAGGAGCAAGAATCACTGGGGTTGAGGTGGAGAGATGGCTCAGTGGTTAAGAGCAGAGGCTACTCTTCCAGAGGGCCCAGGTTCAGTTCCCAGTACCCATATGGTAGTTCACAGTCATCTATAACTCCAGCCCAGGGGACCTGACCCTGTCATCTGACCTCTGAGGGCACCTCTGCCTTCTGAGTGCTGGGATTAAAGGAGTGCCACCCCGCTGCCAGGCTCTTGCCTCTGTCCTAAGGTTTTGTGAGGATGAAGTAGCATTCTTGGAAACTGTAAACCAGTGCCCTACCTGGTGTTCGCGCGGTGGTGTAAGCTGTCAGTATCCGTGCTCCCATAGACACAATGCTTTCTGTTCAGGGTCCCGCTCTATAGCCCTGACTAGTTTGGAACCCTGAGGTCCCCTGTCTCTGCTTGCCAAGTGCCAAGTTAAAGGGTGTGCCTTCACACCCCATCTTCTGTTTCATTTAAAAAACAATGTATATGGGGACTGGAGAGATGACTCAGAGGGTAAGAGCACTGACTGCTCTTCCAGAGGACCTGCTTTCGATTCCCAGCAACCACATGGTGGCTCATAGCCATCTGTAATGAGATCTGGTGCCCTCTTCTGGTGTGCAGGTAGAACACTGTATACATAATCAATCAATCAATCAATACATCTTTAAAAAAAAAAGAAAACTGAGCTAAAATAAACCATATTTTAGAAAAAAAACCAATGTATATGGATGTTTTGCCTACATGTTTAGCTGTGCACTACATGCATGTGTGGTGCTTAGAGAGGCCAGAAGAGGGCATCAGATCCCCCAGAGCTGGAAGGTGATGGATAACTTAGAATGAACCTTTCCTCTGTCTCCTCCCCACTGGGCGTTGTGTATCCTAGGCTACCGGTCTACCATCAAGACAGCTCCAGCTCTGGCCACTGTTTTGCTGTAAATTAAATTTTTACCACCATCTGAACTAGGTGGCTCATGCCTGTAATCCCAGCTCTTGGGAGTCAGAGGCATGAGTAGGTGAAATTTGAAGTTACTCTGGGCTTCAAACTGATACTTTCAGCCTGGCATGATGGTACACACCTATAACCCTGCAGAGGCAGGTAAGTTTGAGGTCAGGCTGGTCTACATTACAAGTTCTAGGATAACCAGGACTATATAATGAGACCTGGCTCAAAAAAGAAAAAAAAAAAAAGAATTGCAGTCCAACCTTCCTGTTAAAAATTATAATCTAAACCGTATGTGGTAGTGCATGTCTTTAATCCCCGCACTCAGGAGGAGAGGTAGGGAGATCTCTGTGAGTTCGAGGCCAGCCTGGTCTACAGAGCAGGTTCTAGGACAGCCAGGGCTACACAGAGAAACCCTATCTGGAGGAAAAAAGTTAAAATCTAACAAAACAGAACTTTACTTTCTGTTTTTTTTTTCATTTTAGTTAATTCTTTTTTTAAAAAATATTTATTTATTTATTATGTATACAATATCCTGTCTGTGTGTATGTCTGCAGGCCAGAAGAGGGCACCAGACCTCATTACAGATGGTTGTGAGCCACCATGTGGTTGCCGGGAATTGAACTCAGGACCTTTGGAAGAGCAAGCAATGCTCTTAACCACTGAGCCATCTCTCCAGCCCTAGTTAATTCTTTATAGCCAATTAATTTTTCAAATAATTATAACTGTTCTCCCCTTGGACCTATTGGAAACTCTCAGTCCTTGTTGGGTATAAAAAATATTGTTTCCTTTTTTTTTTTTTTTTTTGAAACAGGGTTTCTCTGTAGCTTTGGAGCCTGTCCTTGATCCTGGAACTAGCTCTTGTAGACCAGGCTGGCCTTGAACTCACAGAGATCTGCCTGCCTCCGCCTCCCAAGAGCTGGGATTAAAAGTGTGCACCACCATCACCAGGCTGGCTGTCTCCTTTTTAAATTTATTTCTTTATTTATTTTGATTTTTGGAACCTGTCCTGAAAATTCGCTCTGTAGACCAGACTGGCCTCGAACTCACCGAGATCTGCCTGCCTCTGCTCCTGAGTGCTGGATTAAAGTAATGCACTGCCACGCCCATACCCAGACTTACATTTTTTTTCTCTTTTCCAAGATTTATAGTTCATCTTCCCTGAAAGCTTGCTGTCTTCCCTGCTCTCTCCTGACCGCCCGCCCTCTTCTTCCATACTCTACCACTGAGTTCTACCCTAGCCCTGGTGACTGTTTTGCTATTAATGAATGCTCACTATGCCGAATATAAAATTACAAGTGTTTTTTCTCAACAAATAACCGTGAAAGAGTGTCAAAACAGATCCTGCTGTGGTGGCACACCCAACACTCGGGAAGTAGAAGCTTGCAGGTCTCTGAGTTTGAAGCCATCCTTGAGCCTTGTCTGCATAGCAAATTTCAGGGCTACATAGAGAGATGCTGTCTTAAAACAAACAAACAAACAAAAAAACGTAAACCAAAAACAAAACAAAACAATTGTCGAAATAGAAAAGAAACTTCCTGGAGTGAACCAATCATGGCAACATGAAGCTATAAATCCGAAAGTGACATCTGGTGGTGGAGGACAATTGGTTGGAAGGAACATAAACTGAAACTTTCTGTAGTGATGAGGATTCTGTCTCGGGTCATCTAGTATTTACATCGGTGAGCAACGCGACACACTGAACCCTGAACACTTTCTCTATGCATTCCGTTGTAAAGTCCGTCTAAGTCAATAAAACAAGGTACTGAGAGAGGCTGCTTAGTCTGAGAAGATGCTGCTGTGAGCACAGCTGGCTTAAGACCCCGTGCATGCATCTTTTGGGCAGGGGCGGTACTCTGGGCTACAGGGGACGTATGAATCCTGGCTGCCACTCACTGTGACACTAAGCAAGCACCCAGAGTCTCAGAGCATGCCAAGTCTCTTATCTGTACAAAGAAGCAAATCACATCTTAAGGGAATCCTGGGGAGATTGGTTTTTGTTAATTAACAAAGGGACTAATGCTGGGAGATCTTACCCTCTAGAGTCCTAGATTGTAAGGAGTCCTGCTGTTTGGGATGTCTGCACAAAGGGCACGTTTTACCTTTTACTGGGTTATTTGGACACAGGGGAATGTCCTAGTGTCTAAGACAGGTGCAGAGCTCCAGATAAGGTTTCCAACAACAACATCCCACATCTATCTTCACGGGGTGGTTTCCAAGGAAACAGGATCCTGAGCCCTCTTGATAACTCAGGCCTGCTCATAATCCCTTTACACAGCCCGGTGCACTCTGAAACGATCAAAACGCAGCTTCTGGACAGGAGACGTGGCTCAGTGCTCACCTGGCAGGCTCACCCTAAGGGCTAATCCTCAGTACTGCAGAAACCAAGCCAAAACAGAGGTGAAGCCCAAGGCTGTTTCTCTGCCCCCACAAACTTTCCTTTATCTGGTGTCTGGTGACACAGCCCATGGTTCCTCCAGGGTATGGTTTCCCTTGCAACATCCAGTCAGCAAAGGTGCCTTTCTCAGACGGTTGGTAGTCTTCGTCAGGTGCATGCTGTCCTGGGGATTGCCGATTGTGTATATAAAATGTGCTTCCAATGCCCGGTGTTTGAAAAGCTCTTAAGAGATAATAAAGTTAGGGCCAAGGAGGGAGAATAGTTCAGTTGGTAAAGTGTTTGCCTTGCAAGTACAAGGACCGGAGTTTGAACCTTAGCGCCTGCCTTTAAAAAGCCAGGTGACAGGGCTACACAGGGAAACCCTGTCTCAGGGGAAAAAAATCAAAAACAACAGCAACAACAAAAGCTAGGTGTACTAAAAAGCCAGGAGTAACTAGCACACACTTCCAATCCTAGAACTGGGGAGGCAGAGACAGGCAGATCCCTGGGCTGACCAGGTAGACTGTCCAGCGTGATTGGTGACCAGCAAGTTCCAGGTCATTGATGAAAACTCCTGACTCAGAACAAATTGCAAAGAGGCTAGGGGGATCTCCATTGTATTGCTAAATTGCTGCTCAAGCATGAAGACCTGAATTGGGATCCCCAGCGTCCACATAAAGGAAGGGTGTGGCCCACTTGCCTGTAATCTCAGTGCTGGCAGACAGGGTCCTGAGTTTAGCCTGAGTTGGTGGCTCCATGTTCAGTGAGAGACTCTGCCTCAAAATAGGTAGAGAGTGACTGAAGAAGAGACATGATGTTGAGCTGTAGCCTCCACACTCACACACATGCACACGTAAGTCCACACACACACACATTAGAGAAACCACGATGGTCAGCACTGGAGGAGTGACATTGAAGGACTGTCCTCCACATGCGTGTGCACACTTATGCACACATACCTGACAGAAACACATACATACATACACACACACAGAGTAAGATTATCTAGACTTGGGCTGGAGAGATGGTTCAGAGGTTAAGATCACTGGCTGCTCTTCCAGAGGTCCTGAGTTCAATTCCCAGCAACCACATGGTGGCTCACAGTCATCTGTAATGAGATCTGGTGCCCTCTTCTGGCGGGCAGGGATACATACAGACAGGACACTGTATAGATCACTAATAAATAAATCTTTTTAAAAAAAGATTATCTAGTCTTGGGGGCATCTGTAATCTCTTTCCTGGGGAGGCTGAGGCAGGAGGATTGTGGTGAATGTGATGTCAGCCTGAGCAGAGTGAGACCTTGTCTCGAGTCGCAAACAGTCTCTACCACCCCCCACAAAACAGTACACAAGGGCTGGAGAGATGGCTCAGTGCTCAATTCTAGTTCAACTCCCAGCACCCGCATGGCAGCTCATAACTGTAACTCCAGTTTCAGGGGATCTGACACCCTCACACAGACATGCATGCAGGCAAAACACCAATATACATGAAATAAAAATAAGTAAAACAAAGCCACAGTACACAGGTTAATAGTTTATTAAGATAAATCTATATATTTCAAGAAATGACCTGGCTCTGAAACAGAGTTTGTTTAATCTTCTTACACTTTTATCATTCCAAATGAACTAGATATAATATTTCAAGTGGCACACCATACGGTTATGAATGTAAAACACAAAAATGGGACTGGGGAGATAACTCAGTGGTTAAGAGCAGCCTTACTCTTGCAGAGGACCTGGGTTCAGTTCTCAACACCCACGATGCCCAATTCACACTGCCAGTAACTCCAGCTCCAGGGGATCTGATGCCCTCTTCTGGACTCTCCTGTGCTCAGGTGCACACACCCACAGACAGACAGACAGACAGACACATATATGCACATTATTTAAAATAATAATAAATTTTTAAAACATAAAATTTAAAACACACTAATTAATTAAAATTTCACACTAAAATCTCAATAAGTCAATAATTATTGTTCTAATAATCATACTTCTATACAGATTTTTCTTTGGGCCTCCAGGTCACCAATAACAATACAGAGATTTATTATTAATTGTGAAAGCTTGGCTTTAGCTTAGACTGATTTCCAACTAGCTCTTATAATTTAATTAACTCATATTTTTCAATTATGTTTTGCCTTGTGACTCAGTTACCTCTGATCTGTACCGTGTGTCCGACTTCTTTACAGTCTCATTGGCATCTCTCCACCTCTCCTCTTTCCAGAGTCCTCTCTTTCCCCAGAAGTTCCACCCAGCCTCTCCCTGCCTAGCTATTGGCCATTCAGCTCTTTATTAAACCAATCACAACAATATATCTTCATACACTATACAAATAGCCCCCAACACATACTGTCAGGTTTTTGTAAAGAACAATATAAGGAAGTACCCAGTTACATGTTGATTCTCTCTCTCTCTCTCTCTCTCTCTCTCTCTCTCTCTCTCTCTCTCTCTCTCGGCTAGACAAGTGCTTTACCATTGAGCTCTATGGCCAGTTCTCTCTCCATTTTTTTTTTTTTGGAGACCATTTCATACAGCTGAAATTAGCCTTGAACTTGTCCCAAAACCAAAGATGACCTTGAGAGTTTCTGGTCCTCTCCTCCTCTACTTCAGATGTGCTGGGATGACAGGCATGCTCCAGTAAGCCTGCTGTTTGTTTGCTTCAAAGTTAATTTTATTATTTTATTTATGTGAGTCTTTTTGCCTACCTGTCCCTCTGTGCACCACCAGTGTGCCTGGTGCTCTCAGAAGCCGGCACTGGAGCGGCTGGACTTGGAGTTAGAGATGGTTGTGAGCCCCCATGTGGATGCTGGGAATTGAGCCTGGGTCCTCTGCAAGAGCTGGCCTGGAACTCATGTTTGGCCTAGGCATACTTGGAACTTGTGACAGTCCTGCCTCCCGTCCTAAGTGCTGAGAATATAGTCTGTGCCTTTGCACCTAGCTGAAAGCATGTATTCTCTGACCACAGGAAGGCATACACGCCTGCGCAATGATGACCTTACGTAGACTTAGTTACGGGAGTCACTGATGCTATGCAGGATGAGGTCGGTATCGTGGTCTTTTGTATTTTGTGGTACAGCTTCTCCAGCAGGCTGGCATATGGTGGCTAAATTAGGAAAAATTGTTCTCCTTTTTCTACTCCTCCTTCTGTTTCTGCTCCCTCCCCTCCCCGCCTTTTTCTTTTTGGCAGTGGTGGAGAGGGCTGTATTTTGCCTGCGTGCCTGGTGCCCATGGAGACCAGAAGAGGGCATCAGACTCCCTGGAACTTGAGTTACAGACTGTTGTAAATCTCTGTGTGGTGCTAGGAATCAAACCTGGGGTCCTCAGGAAGAGCAACCAGTACCATTAACCACAGCCTGAAAAGGCTGTTTTACCTGGATTTTTACCTCTTGTCCTGGGATCTGGTCAGGAACTTGATGTGTTCTGCACACCTCTGGTTCTGTCCTTTTGCTCATTATTTTGCCCCTTGTTCAGGATGCCCTCTGGATGGATCTGGAGCTCCAGGAGACTGGAACTGATTCTCAACAAGCGGGTGTCTTCTAGGATGACATCACAGGGGACCTTGGGACAGCTGTTCCATCTCACTGTGAGACGGGGTCTAAGCTTGGAACTATGTCCTCCCCTCCTCATACATTCATGTGATCAATGCTTATTGGACATTTACTGTTTGCTAGGGGCAGATTCGCTTCTGTGAGAGATGCAAAGGTGGAAAGCACTTTTACCTTTACGTGGAGTGAAGAAATCAGCAACTATATCTTCAATTTCTAGAAGAAAGAGACGTCCACTAAGTTTCAGTTTAAATAGTGTCAAGTGTAAATGAAAAGAGGCTCAAGGCTTTTTAAATTTTCCTTTATTTTTTATATATTTATAATAATTTATTTTTTATTTTATGTGTATTGGTGTGAAGGTGTCAGATCCCCTTGAACTGGAGTTACAGACAGTTGTGAGCTGCTATGTGGGTGCTGGGAATAGAACTAGCATCCTCTGGAAAAACAGCCAGTACTCTTAACCACTGAGCCATCTCTCCAGCCCTGTCTCAAGGCTTTTTAGAGGTTAAAAATAAAAAATACAATTTAGGAGCCTAAAGAGATGGCTCAGTGGTTAAATAGCTTGGTTTGCTAGAATGAGAAGTGGATTTTGGAGCCTCAAGAATGCACTTATGAAGAGGAATGCACTAGAGGAAGGGGACCGCGAATCAAATAATTCCACACTAGCTCTGAATAGGTTATAATAAGGTGTTTCTTATTAAAGGGGAACTCACAAGATCACAGTGAGGAACAGGAACAGAATCCAACATCCAGGTGGGGCAAGCAGGGAAGAGAGAATGAGAGGACAGACCATGGGCTTTTTGGTACTCAAGGCCATGCCCAACCTGGTCCAGCCCCTCCAAGGCCATTGGCTGAAGGAGTTCCCCATCACCTCCCCCTTTTGTCTAAATAAGAGAGTTCTAAAACCAATACAAAATTATATATAATAAAAACAGATATCAAGTATAAAAATTAGAATTACAATCAGCATAAACAATATTAATTAAGAAACATATGCTAAATGTTTCAATGATTATTCTGTTCTAAGGAGTCTAAGTCTTGTATTAGAAATGGTTTGGCTAAGTCATAAGATGAAAGTAACTACGACTCCATCAAAACTGACCTTAAATTTGTATCAATAAGCCAAGATCCATACCAATGCAAAGTATATCCCTCTTTAAATGTAAACAAACATTTATAAACAATCATTTAGGGAATTTGGGCGTAGTTTTCTCGAAACTGCTCCCTGCTTTTTGTTGGGTGAAGTGTTTTGGGGGTTTTATGAAGACCTTTCAGGGAATCTTGGCCCATCAAACCATATTAGCCTGGAAAGAATCTACAGGTTCCCATCTTCTGTGGAAACAAAAGGAGAACTTCTTTTACAAAGCAACATACCCTTAGACCCAAATTTTGAAGTCAAGATACCTTTAAAGTATACATGTTGGCTTATCTTAACAGCCCATACAATGAAATGTCTCTCTGTACTTAGCTCATTCACAGTCAAAAAATTCAAAGAAGGGGCTGGAGAGATGGCTCAGTGGTTAAGAGCATTGCCTGCTCTTCCAAAGGTCCTGAGTTCAATTCCTGGCAACCACATGGTGGCTCACAACCATCTGTAATGAGGTCTGGTGCCCTCTTCTGGTCTGCAGACATACACACAGACAGAATATTGTATACATAATAAATAAATAAATATTTTTTTAAAAATTCAAAGAAAATATAATCATATATATAATCCAGACTCTCTGTGTATTTTCCATCTTTATGCGGCTTATTTTCCTTTAGTCTTTAATTTATGACTGTCTGTACTCTGTCTCTTTAAAGACGTTGTTTTATTATTATTTTTTAAGCTATTTACTTCTTTTTATAACTCTCTATACTCCTTTTCTTCTCTCTCCCAAGCCTACGTACATTTTTCCAACACTGTGACCCATTTGGAGGTCTTTTCCATCTGGATTTGTCTTTATTGTGTGCGTACCCGCAGTTATTTTTTGACCAGGAGCGCTTTAAAAAAAAAAATTCTAAGTGGGCATGGCTAGGACCAAGTCTGCAGCTCAGTCCATGCATATTCACTGCCTCTGAGAGCTACACATATTGCCCCAGCTCGAGCATTGCAATAAGTCTGTGTCACCATTAAGCAATTTGTAACACGCTGCTCACAGACCCCATGCAAGTGCTCGGCCTCCTGAAAGAGCCAGAGCTGTTCATGCAACTAGCATGAACCAGAAAGCCACCGTTTTAAAACTGCATGGTTTTTGTTTGTTTTGTTTTGTTTTCTGCTACCACTAAATCAGGAAGACCTCTCTTACAGGAGCTGTGACACCCGTGTTCACTACCAGCAAACAGAGCCCATCTGGCGAAAAAAAATAATGCTGGATACCAAGAAGCCCATGCTTAACTCTGTTCTTTTATGTCTAGAGTTCCTTTCTGAGCTTTTCCAGGTTTTACATGGATATAGTCAGCCCCATGTTGGGCTCCAGATGAAGAGGAACGCATCAGAGGAAGGGGAACACAAATCAAATAATCCCACACTAGCTCCAAATAGGTTATGATAAGGTGTTCTTTATTAAAGAAAAATGCATGAATCACAAGGAAAAGGAACGAAATCCAACATCCAAGTGAAGTAATGGACCCACAGGCTTTTTGGTATTCAAGACCATGCCCAACCTGGTTCAGCCTCTCAAAGGCTATTGGCTGGAGGAGGTGCCTCATCATGCTTATGAGCATGGTGGCCCATCCACCTGTGATTTCAGCCTGTGACCATGGAGACAGAGGATGTCAACAGCAAGTTCCGGGTTTGGTGAAGAGATTCTGCCTCAGTGAATAAGGTGGAAGAGTGACTGAGAATGACTCCTGACATCAGTTTTGGACCTCCACATGCAGGAATACACATGTGCACCCACACACACGCAACCATGGTACACACATATGCCCACCATCTATACACACATGAAAATGAAAAAAGAAAAATGAAGCTTACTAAAATTTTCTGTAGCAATGCAGTATGATGAAATTATTTTTTACATTCTAGGAGACTGGAACTTTCACTAGACCACACTGCCCAAGTTAAAACACTTACGATTTAAGAGTAGCCAGGCGGTGGGTGGCACACTCCTTTAGTTCCAGCACTCCAGAGGCAAAGGCAGGCAGATCTCTGAGTTTGACACCAGCCTGGTCTACAGAGCCAGTTCCAGTAGAGACAAGGCTACATTAAGAAACCCAGTCTTGCTGGGTGATGGTGGCGCAAGTCTTTAATTCCAACAATTGGGAGACAGAGGCACAGGGATTCCTGTGAGTTTGAGATCAGCCTGGTCTACAGAGTGAGTTCCAGGACAGCCAGGGCTATTTCACAGAGAAAACCTGTCTAGGGGTGGGGGTGAGGTGGAGTGGGGTGGGTGGGAAGAAACTCTGTCTCCAAAAAAACAAAAACAACAACAACAAAGACAACCAAAAACTTTAACAGTGTTGCTGGTCACAGTGGTGCCTGCCTTGGATCCCAGTGTATTGGAATTTCTGACCCCTGGGAAAAGACCATAGACTCAATCCAATTATAATTCAAAGATTTATTGATTACCGCTAGCAGAACCACAGTTTCTGAGCCAGACTTGAGACTGCTGTGCAGAGGGGGTGAGGGTGAAGGACCCCAACTCGATTTAACCACAGTTATGCCGTTCTGCAAAGGTTTTCAGATAGTAAGCTTAACTAAGGGCCTCCGGAATGCTGAGCAGATAACAAGCTCCATTAAAGGCCTCCGGAATTCAGTGCCTCCGGAATGCTGAGCAAAGACACCTGAGGTTAGAGCAAAGACAGCCTTATCTGGCTGCGAGACAGGAGATTTATGGATTGGTCATAGAAACAAAGAAAGAGAGGATTGCGAGGCCTGAGTCACGTATAAAGCGGGGCTCGTCACGAGTCAGGGGCTGTGCAATCAGACATCTGGTCGCCAGCCAGGAAAGGAGGAGGCAGGATAAGAGAAACAGTAAACCGCTGAATAGTCCCCTCATTGTTATCTAGGTTAAGAATTTACCACCCTGCATCTCGCTTCTGTAAACCTCGCTTTTTGCTCTCCTATAAAAACCCCTCACCCCCAACCTGCAGGCGCGCAAGTCCTCCGAGAGACTTGGTCGCCCCAGGTACCTGTGTATCCCCAATAAACCTCTTGCTGTTTGCATCCGGCTGCGTGTTTTCGACTGATCTTTGGGCATGGGGGTCTCTCCCAAGGGAAGACGCCCACGGGAGTCTTTCAAGGGAAGACTTTTGAAAGGGGAAAACCCCAAGTAGACCTTGCGTATCTGCACAAACAAGCCTAGAGCTGTTTAGCTCTGCCAAGATTAGGTAGTCAAGGCAACCTGAATGTCTGCATAAGCAGGTTACAGAAACCAAAAAGCAGTTAGTGAAAACAGAACAAGGAGATGGTCACGGCTGTACATTTCTGGGTAGGTGGGTGGGGTCACGAGTCAGGGTTACTGGGAACTTATTTTCCAGGGACTAGAGTCAGAGGTAAATGGCTAATGGTTACCTAGGTGGATGCCTAGCATAATATGGAGGGCTTTTTTTTGTTGTTGTTTTCCCATTACAACAGCACTTGGGAGGCAGAGGCAGGTGGATCTCTGTGAGTTTCAGACTAGCCTGGTCTACATAGTGAGTTCCAAGACATCCAGGACTACATAGTGAGAGTTTGTCTCAAAAAAACAACAACAAAAATAATTTTCAAAAGACTTGCTAGCCTGGGTGTTTTCAGCCTATTTGTTTAACCTCTCCCTAAGAGAACAAAGAACCAACCTTGTTTGTTGTGGATTTTCCATGTAATCATCTTTTACAACCTAAGCTAATGCATAGCTACAGCCCTAAATTATGTACTCCCCCGTGCCCCTGGCCTAGAGCAATGCACGTGTGTTATGATAATCAGTTGCTGGGAATAAAAAACTGGCGGAAAACGACTGAAGCAGCATTGACAGCTTGATGGTGTTTGTTTGTTATCTGATCAGTTGGGGTCAGCTGGAGTCAGGGACTTAATCCCTTGTAAAACTCTGTTAAAGATTTCTGTAAGGTGTCCCTCATTCCCTGCCCCCTGCTCTCTGTGCTGTTCAGTAAATACAGAGCAGAAGGCCTTTGTGACAGACAATGGAAGACATGGAGAGCAAAGTAGAGAATTCGGCCTCAGCTTGCTCTAGGTTAAAAGATACAATGAGGAAGTGTTTCAGTTCTGTCCTTAATGTGACATCAGTCTGTTACTG